CCAAAGTGCTGGGATTGTGAGCCACTGCACTTGGCCCAGCAGTCAATATTTGTAATAGGATTCACTGTTAGTCTGTGAGCAGCTCAGCAACCCCATGTACACCCCAGATTGGTAAGGGTGACTGGATTCTTCTCTGAGGAGGAGAAAAGACTATGTAGGCATAATAGGTATAGTAGGTTCAGAAAAGCCTATATTGGAGAAATAAAGGATCTTCTGGTTTTTTATATTTTCTGTTTTTTTCCTTTTAGTATTCAATAAGGCCTTTTTCAGAGTTCCCACCTCTTTCAGGTCGGCTAGAGAGAGCAACTTGGCGGGGTCAGCAAGAATCAGTGAGAGTTTCTGAGAAGTGACACTCAGGAAACAGAGCCAAGGCATTTAGTGTCCTCTCTCTACCAGAAGTTTTTCACCCTCTGTTCTGTGTTTTGTTTATTCTTTTATTGTTACTCAAAGTATGCTTCTGAAACTGCTTGTATCAGAACTGGGGTGCTGACTAAAAAGGGCAGATTTCTAGGTTTAACCGCTGCCTTCCTAAATCCGAACTTCTCTGGCAGGTGCTGGATAACTCTGCATTTGTCTGCAGATCTGTAATCCCAGTACTGTGGGAGGCTGAGGTGGGTGGATCACCTGAGGTCAGGAGTTTGAGACCACCCTGGCCATCTTGATGAAATCCCATCTCTACTAAAAATAAAAGAATTAGCTAGGTGTGTTGACATACCTGTTATCCAAGCTACTCAGGAGGCTGAGGCAGGTGAGTCGGTTGAACCTGGGAGGAGGAGGTTGCAGTGAGCCGAGATTGTACCCCTGCACTCTAGCCTGGGTGACAGAGGGAGACTCTGTCTCAAAAAAATAAAAATAAAATAAAATTGAGAACCTTAGGTTTTGTTTTGTTTTGTTTTGAGAGAAAATCTCACTCTGTCACCCAGGCTGGTGTACAGTGGCACGATCTCAACTCATTGCAGCCTCTGCCTCCCAGGTTCAAGTGATTCTCCTGCCTCAGCCTCCCAAGTAGCTGGGATCACAGGCTTATGCCACCATGCCTGGCTAATTTTTGTATTTTTAGTAGAGATGAGGCGGGGTTTTACCATGTTGGCCAGACTGGTCTTGAACTCCTAACCTCGGATGATCCACCCACCTTGGCCTCCCAGAGTGCTGGGATGATAGGTGTGCACCACTGTTCCTGGCCAAGAACCTTCAGTTTTGTATTTATCTTTTTCAATACATATCCATTACAGACTGGATGCAGTGGCTTATGCCTGTAACTCTAACCCTTTGGGAGGCTAAGACAGGTGGATTGCTTGAGTCCAGGAATTCGAGACCAGCCCGGCAACATGACAAAACCCTGTCACTACAAAAAAAAAAATACAAAAATTAGACAGATGTGGTGGCGCATGTCTGTGGTCCCAGTTACCCTGGAGGCTGAGGTGGGAGGATCTCCTGACCCTGGAGAGGTCGAAGCTTAGTGAGCTGTGATTGTGCCACTGCACTCCAGCCTGGGTGACAGAGTGAGACTCTGTCTCAAGGAAAAAAAAATATTACATGCCTAAGCATTCCTAGCACTGTATAGACACCCAAGGTGCAGTATAAACTAGACAGATACGACTTTTCATGTTCAAATGGAATCTGCATTTTGACAGAAGATATTAGCAGAGTAGTGGAGTAAACCATTGGATAGGTTAGGTAAAAGCAGATTGTATGACACTTTGAAAGTCTTGTCAGGGGACTTATGATTCAGTAAGAAATAAGGAGCTTCTAGGCTCATCTGCAGGCTATATGGAGTAGAAAGAGTATAAACTCTAGAGTCAGCCCAACATGATCCTACCATAACCACTAGTGTGGCCATGAGCAAGTCAGTTGATCTCTGGAACTTCAGGTGTTTATCTATAAATGATGTTAAAAATGGCACCTACCAGCTGGGCGAGGTGGCTCACGACTGTAATGCCAGCACTTTGGGAGGCCGAGGCAGGTGAATCACCTGAGGTCAGGAGTTCGAGACTAGCCTGACCAACATGAGGAAACCCTGTCTCTACTAATAATACAAAAATTAGCATGGCTGGGTGGCAGGTACCTGTAATGCCAGCTGCTCGAGAGGCTGAGGCAGGAGAATTGCTTGAACCCGGGAGGCAGAGGTTGTAGTGAGCCGAGATCGAGCCATTACACTCCAGCCTGGGAGATAAGAGCAAAACTCAGTCTCCAAAA